AAAGATTGAAAAGCGTTGGACTCATCACACAGCCCTGTTTTACTCCTTTTTTAATTTCGAACATACAGGTGATTTTGTGCCCTGATTTTATGGTTGCGTATGTCTGGAGATACATGTTTTTTATAACTAAATATAGTTTACCATTAATACCAGCCTTTAAAAGTTTATTGAACAGCAGTAATTTCCAATATCATACGTCAATCTTTGCTCTGTTTTTGTTTTTGAGCATTACTTTTTTGGGGTTGACAAATTTAGAAATTCTTATTAGAGAATTTGTAACTCCCAAAGTTACGAGGATGTGTGACCTTTAGGGATCATGCATAAAACCTATCGGGTAATGATCAGCTGGATACAACATACTGAATATCAAATTGTAATTGTATGCAAATTAAGTTTCAGTTTTGTTCTGTGAAGGTATGTAGGCATGTATATAAACAAGTTAGTCCAATGAGATGGGTCTTTAATAATTCCTTGAAGAGGTGTGTCGCAACATCTTTGTTACATGTATTTGTTGCAGTTTATGTGTCTTGAGAATATCAAAGTAAAATCCCATGGTGCATCTTTCTATACACTATTAACTTCTGCCACCATACTGATTTATTTGTGTGTCGTAAACTAACAAAACCAACAACTGAGGTGCAGTAAAGAGGCTGTATGTGATGTTGACAATGATGATTCGTTGATTCGCAAAATTTGTTTGCCTTTCTGAGTATCATATGATCAATCTATTGTTTACCTGATTAAAGTGTGATGCATCATGGGAGTACCATACCAAAATGCACAGTGGGTATACATAATTTCCCATGTCTACTTAGAGCAATACATTTTAGGAATTGACAACTTGTTAAAATAATAGTTAATTTAATTTAGCACAACACTACAATATTATAATAATAATAACTTTATTGCCTCCATGTAAAAAGATTTACATAGGATCAATAATAACAAGATATATGTAAAAATATTATAAAAAAAAAATTATTGTAATACAGTTTGTACCAAGCTTTTCTAATCTACATGTCTGAAATCAGTATATATGCTAGCGATACCATGTATATATTGTGTTTGTGTTTACATATGCATGTGTTTGTCATAGCCGTGTGCAGTTACACAAAGTACCTGGTAAGCAAGCGATTACAGAGTCAAGGCGGAAAGCTGTGTTACCTTTATAATGCCCTTTGAACTATCACAATGTTAAGGACATACTTTTCATGAATGTAGTTCACGCGTGACGTGTGATTGATACATGTAGTAGGTTACAAGGTTGTGAGGGTATGGTGTATAGTTTGTTGCCGTTGTTGTATTGAATGCATCAGTCAAGTGCACTCAAAGTCGCACATTCAATGCAAAGTGGTTTTGAACACAGATATAAGGAGACCTTCAGTTTCACCCACAAACAAGTGTATGCAGACTTAAGTTGTAATCCTATCAACTTAATGGGCACATTTTTAATTTGTATTCATTATGGCTGCCCTTCTCATTGTCACAGAGTGGTAGTTTTAAAATCTATTGACAAACCTTGCAATATATTATGTTTTAATTAGGGATCTTTAAAAAAAATGTGTTTAGTCGCCACATTTGTCAGTTAAAATAAGTGTCTCTCAGCTTCTTTTAAAAAATTTTAGAAAGAATGAGTGAAAAATTCAACTTTTGAGAAGTCATAAATTCAATCGCAATTTAAATAATAAAAATGTTAAAGTCATTGACAATTAATTCCAGAGAAAAAAAATCATCAGAATTTTTTTCCCAAACCCAGACATATCATAAACACATCCTGGGAATCAGAGATTAGAATTAAAAGTATTTAGTTTAGTGTATACAGATATATTGAAATTTGAGTAACTCAATCAGTACATGTGTGTTACAGGGTCTGAATTAGGTCAGAAATATGTACTTTAAGGGTGTGACATTTAGTGTACACAACTATATAAAGATCATCTATCAGCAGAGCTGCAAATCGTCAGTTATCACAGTGGCGGTTCACATGACCACATTCATGCCTGTCATAGTCAGATTTTTTTATTTACAGTTTTAAATATTGTCGTCATTTACAAAACAAACCCCACATAAATTGTTTATATCTCTTTCATTGCTGCAGAAAATAAAAAAATATGTTTATTTGGTCAAATTAACAAAATTGATTTGTAAGCTCAGAAAAAACAACTGATATCACAAGCTCAGAAGAAGATTGCAAACTCAGAAAAAACAAAAGAAAAAGTTGTGATGTGTTGTGATGGCCTATATTATCGTGATTTCTGTAATTGTTTAAGCCAGATTGATATTGCAAGTTCAGAAAAAACAACAGACATCGCAAGCTCTGAAAACAAAACAATTGATATCGCAAGAACAGAAAAAACAACTGACATCACAAACTCAGGAAAAAAAAACAGTTGATATTGCAAGAACAGAAAAAAACAATTGATATCGCGATATCGCAAGAACAGAAGAATATTGCAAACTCAGTAAAAACAAAAGAAAAAGTTGTGATGTGATGTGATGGCCTATATTATCATGATATTTTTGTAATTGTTTAAGCCAGAATGATGAATAAATAAAATCATTGCCTCAATATCATGTCTCTAATATTTCCAGAATCATCTACCAAGAACGGAGGCGAATTTGATGAAGAAGGTAGTTGAATATTTACTTATCAATAGAGGGCGTGCTATAGGTGGTGCATATCACATAATACTCATAATACTTAATTCACCGCAATAGAGAGCATGGTATAAGCTGTGCATTCAACACAACACTCAATTATACAATTCACTGCATATGTAAATGTAATAGCACTCAACTAACAACTAATCATGGCTTTTATGGTGATAATTAGAATTACAAGAAGACAACATTATTACAAATACACACAAAGCAGTCCGACCAAATATGCATTGACGAAAGATCTATCCATTTACTGATCTGAAATTGGCTGATTTGAATATGACACTTGGATTTAGATAATAGAATCAAATCATTATTGAATTATGTCATATTTTCAAGTTTACCGATTTCTATATTATACACAATGAGGATTTTCAGAATATTTTAGTTTACGTATCTGCAGATCCAATCTGAGATTTTTGTAACATGATTCATCAAATGATGTATCACATGTTTTATCACATGATGTATCACATGATGTATCACATGATGTATCACATGATGTATCACATGATGTATCACATGATGTATTACATGTGTCAGATTTATCAAATGATGTATCACATGTTTAATCACACAATGTATCACATGTTTTATTACATGTGTCTCTTAATTTATCACATGATGTATCAAATGACTTATCACATGATGTATCACATGATGTGTCACATAATTTATCACATGATGTATCACATGATGTATCACATGATTTCAATTAGATCTATATCACATTGCAGCTAATCCATCTTAATGGCGCATAATACACTGCTCTATATAGCATATAATATTAATAACAGTTTTATGTTTTCATCCGCTGCAGCTTATTAGCAATATAACTAACTGTTTTATTATTGTAGTATACACAAAGTGTTGACTGGTGTATTCTAATGCTGTATTTACTCTGTTAGATGCAGTGGATTATGACATGAGTTGAATTGAACTTAACTTCTGAACTGATGGCCACCACTAAATCATGATTTATAATTAACAATTTGCAATTTTAAATTAAATTGCTATATAAGAATGCAACATTAATATTTCAAATTTTTATTAAATTCATAACCTTTTGTGTTTGTCTAAATACTGCTGATAGGGGCTCTGTTTAAATTGCTGTGTGAGGGCGCTATTTAGACCATCATTATTCAGCTTCTGCTGTTCACACTTATGTTGGTCAAAATATAAATAATCGCCCGGAAAAAATGAGAAAAGATAATTCTGATTGATAACCATTTCCCCCTTTCCCTTTTACAGGCAAGATGATAGAGAAAGAAAAAGAGATTTTAAACTCAACAGAGAACGCTTTCCTCGAAAAGATTCGACTGCAGAGACGGATAAGTATGGTCAACAAAATACACACACAGCGAGAAAGACTGCAAACTGAAAAATCGTATCTCAATAAAATGTTGTCAGACCTACGAGCACATCGGCTAGAACTTAAGTAGGTTTGATATAAATACATGTCTTCTTAAAAGATCTTGAAATATTTAGATAACAAGATTTTGCACTGTATCAATTTAGACAAGTTGTCCAGATTTTAAAACAATCATGTATGTACTTAGCAACTTGAGAAGCTAATTTTTTACTACCATTGTTTAGTATTGCAACTATTTTTCAGGAAGTTTTGGAGGTAGCAGCAATTTTTGAGAAACTCATTTGTTTCTTTTTTATAGAGACCGCATTTAAGAAGGATAAGTGCTCTTCATTTTCTATTTCGTTTAATTGACAAAACTGGCATTTTCTTTTTAAAATGTCAATGTTTTTATGTCTTCCAGTTTCTAATCCTAACACATGAGCACTAATTTTTAGTTTGGTCATGGATGACCTGTGGAAGGGATTTTGCACAGTTTCTAAATAGTTTTCAAAAGTGAATTTTGTTTTTAGATGTCTGTATGTGCAGAGTTTATTCTGATGTTTTGTTCCCTTATTATCATCATACATTGAATCTACACAGTATGTTTGAAAGTTGGCTACAAGCTTTTCAGAGACTGATTTGTATTGCACTCTACCCAAGAGCTGCAACCTTCATCTCTTTTCTGTTTTTTTTTTAAATTCTATTTATGACTGATAATTTGAGAAATTTTTATCTTGATATTTTTCCAACAATTCAAGAATCAAGTTCAAATTTTGGAGTCAATGTGAAGCTATTTACAAGATTGTGTCTGATTGGCTACCAAACCCTAACATCTAACAGTCGGACCAATCAGAGAGCAGCTTATTTGTTGACTGGTTTTTTGGGCCTATCAAATTTTGTTTTCTATATATTGAACTGCATTCAGTAGTGTTGCTGCACTGATATTGTGATTACATAGTACAAAAGTTTTCAGTGGTGAGAGTAAAATTTATACTCAATTGATATGGAAATAACTTTTAAATTAGAACATTTTCAATCCACACTTTCAGAGACAAGAAAATGTTGTGCCGAGAACCAGCTGAGAAGAGGAAATTAGACAACAATTTTCGAGAAATTGATCTGGAAATTAATCAAACGGAAGAGGAATTACAAGTTGTGAATGCGCAGCTAGAAAAATTAACACTTGACTTAGATGATGCAAGAGAAGAAATGGATATATCATTAGAAACTATGTCAGGTGATTCAGAAGATTACTTTGACTGCCAGGTATGTGCTGTATTTCTGAGATCACTGGCAACAAATTGGTTCGTGTGCCAAGACTTGTGATGGATATGTAGTATGTTTAAGTCCAGCACAATTTTTTTGGACATCATTTTTTTGCCACAGACTTAACGGAAATAAATATAAGAAAAATGTTATTACACAAAACATAATGACAATTGGACACTGGAACTCACATGGATTACGTTATAATTACGTTCCAAAAATATCACAAAACGTAAACACTAAAACAAAACAGTTAAT